ATAGAGCCTAGAATCTTTCCACCAACCATATTTTAGGTGTTCCTCAGATATGGAAAGTGAAGGCCACATGTAGTGGGATTTGCCAATCCATGTAAGAAACCTCTAATACCCAGACTTCCTATTTCAGTGATAAATTTTTATATGATTTATGGTGATGGAAACATTTCAGTCACCCATTATTAAAGAACAAATGTAACCCACAATTTACTATCTTCAAATCAGTGGTTAGACATAAATAAAATTTAGCAATTTTAATTGGTTTGGCCCAGACTTTCAGATTTCCATATGGTTATTTTCCTTGTTTTATGTTACATGTAATCAACTTAGCACTTGGGTTTTGAAATCTTGGCAGAATGTATCAATTAAAAGCTACATAAATTAGAATTATTCAATGCATACATTCCAAATTGAGTGATCTTAAGGACAAGATTTTAAAAATGCTCTTTTCATAAATATGTTAATTTTCTTCTACAAAGTAAACTTGCATCGTCACCCACATGACAAACTTCATACAGATATAAAAGAGATATTTTCTTTGGAGTAGTGAAAACTAACATTCTTTTTGCTTCGCCTCTGAGAGTTAGTATGCCTAAAATGGGCTTTTCTACATTGTTTGCAAGATGAATCTTTCTTATCTCAGTATTTCTGAAACTGACAGCAGTTATGATATTTCTCATAAACCATCCCCAAACTAAAATGTAAGCACAATATTGATAAATGTAACACCGGGGACATTAAGCTAACGGTGCTCTTAACCAAATTTTAATCAGTGTTGCAAAATATGGTAACTTGATTGATATTTAATATGATATATCAGAATATTATGTTTAAAAAATAGTTATACATTGAAAGAGATGTTCTTACTAAGCCCAAGCCACAGTTACTTCTAGAAACTATAAAACCACACAATCTGAATAAAATACAATCAAACAGAAATATGAAAAACTCAAAAGCCATTCATTTCTGTAGAATGGTGATTAAATTTATTGTCACAAAATTGCTCCACATGGCTGTTGCCTGTGTCATTATATTCGAAATAGTGAAGTGTACCACATGTGCTAAATGAATGAATCATTCATCAAACCCCAAGTGGTTGTTGATGGAATTTTCACACTTACTTAGCTTGACTGAAAGGCCAGAATACCTGGAGTCCCCATGATTCTTGGAGAGCTGTGTGATTCAAATTAAAACCCATTTAAAAATATTATTAAGTTCTTTTTTTACATATGAGATAGTAGGAGAGTATAGAACCAGTAGCTTTATAATAGAACCATGATATTGATGCCATGTTTATTAATGACTATTTAAACTATTAAATATTAATAGATATTCTTCCCTGGTGAGGATAACATTAGATTCAGAACAATCGATCCTACTGCTTATGTCCAGTTTACATAGGCTACTTTCCATCCATGCAGCATTGCTGCACAGAAAATTTTTATTTTTATTTTTATTTTCTTTGTAATTTTTGAATTAGAAAATTTAACAATATGAAAGAGGATCTAATTCCTCTCCTCTGTTTCCACAGATTATCTTCTTGATTTTGGGCTATTTCTAGGGTCCCCTTTTTCAGTGACTGTGGAATTGCTAGAAGTATTCTTAAAACCTTGAAGGTCATTAGATCCTGGGCAATGAATGCCTTCATTCAACAAGGGCACTGCCCTCCTTTGCCTGCAAGCCGTTTAACATCAGCAAGTTCCCCCAAAGGGCCTGCACTTTAACTTGTGTGATGTGTGACCGAACAGGTCACATATCTAAAATACTTAGCTTTCTCAAATGTCTCTGGTCGGCAGCACTGAGTCACTAATGCCACAGCCACAATGTTTCAGACTAGATTGACCTCTTTCTAGTTTTCAATGGAATTATTCCATGTAATCCGATTTACACAGCCATTTAATCAAAGCGAGAAAGGAGATTACAGAGCTCACATTTGTTTTGCAAAGCAAGGGTGCAAGGATAATCAATTCTACTGCTTCTCAAAGTGACTTGATAGTACATCACCCCCTGCCCCACCCCCGCTTTGGAGTGTTGGACGTTAACCTTAGCTGTCTCTTGCGTTCTGATTTGAGTAGGAAGGTTTAGGCTCTTTTCTTGAACTAGAAGGTAGCAGCTTTTTCCCCCAGATCTCACCACTACCATTCATGTGAACAGATGCTACTATTTTTATAAGTCTCTACCCTTCTTGTAATTCCGCAGAAAGCTTGTCTAAATCAAGAGATTACAATGAAACTTTTCTTTTGTTGCAAGTATCTTTAACATTTGCATTTCAACAGCACACTGTGGTGATTCCAGGTGTGGTGCTCAATGCCTTGCCTGAAAGCTAAACTGCTTGCCAGAGAGGCGAGAGGCACACCACTTCTTTTCTCTTGGAGAGTGCTCTAGAGACTATGCAAGCCTCTTTTAGCCAGGCAATGTCCTTTTCCCCTGCCTTTTACCAACACAGGTACAAGGGACTAGAGTCTTGCAACTTTCTTCCTAATGGGTACATTTTCAGGCCTAGAAATCTGTATAAAATATGATGCTAAGCAGGTCATTTGATAAAGCATTTTGAGCACATTGATGCCTTCATGCTAAACCGGCGATTTGTACAAACACCCCGATTTCCTTTTCCCCCACCCATTCCACCCCTTGTACACATTTCAGGAATTGCAATCTCCGACAGAACCTCAGGGGGTTGAAAGGGCAACCCTTACCCAACCTGCGGTAGATAACACATAATTTCTAAGGGTTAGGAGTGAGAGGAGGTAAGAATCAACAATGGTGAAGAGAACCGTGGATAGGGGCACCGTGGCGGCTCTTTCTAAACGAAGAACCAGTTATTTTTGTTTCTAAGGGGGAAAAAAATTTAACTGTCTCTCTGGGCAGTGTTTTACCCACAGTGCTTTATTTATAATGCAGAATTTAGCAGCTCTAGGAATTATCTCAGTAACTATCATTTAGAGGTGTCTATTTCATAAAAAGCCTTTATCTCTGCTGAAATGGAAAAAGGTGCATGCATTGTGGAGGTAATAGAGCCCACATAGAGTCGCAAACTAGGCAGACACCGCCGAGAGCCAAGTTTCCGCGGCAGGCCAGGCAGGTTCCCGCCCCACCGAGAGCTGCGGCTTAGGAGCTCCGCGTTGGCTTCGCTCCCGCAGCTGCACCCGCGTCCGCGCTGCGCTCGGTGCCGGCGCCCACCTCGGGACTACACAAATAAATCAGAGTGCGAGAGCCAGCGAGGATGGCGCGTGGGGAGCTGTTTCATAATCTCCCGGAATGCACGGGAAAACGTCTCCTATGCAAAGGCATGCCTTCCGTGATAACTTAAAATTCCTTAAAGCAAAAGCCGACCGATCCTTCTACCAGACGGGAATTGCGGTTTCCGACTGACAGCTCCAAACTTCCCTGCTAAGGCTCCAAACTTGACACCGGCTCCCTCTCAGCACTCCCCCTCCTTTTCTCCCTGGCTCACCCGGCTCGGGATCGCACACCACGCCGGCCTCCCCCGCACCCTCTTGGTTCACCCGGCAGGCACAGCCCTGCACGCCCCAGCTGCAGGTCCCAGGACGCGCCCGCTTCCCCGGGGCACCGGGCGCGATTTATCTTGGAAAGCCCGCGAGCTCTTGGGCGCGCCCTACTCACTTGTGTCTTCTTCATAAGGAAAGGCAGCGCTGCGATCCAGCACGAGCAGTGGTGTGGCGACTCCGTTTAGCTGTTCTGGAGCTCCAGCATACTGCACGAGCAGCGGCGGCAGATAGTCCACGCATTGGGTAGCCCGAGCGCAGCGCCCTCTCGACTGTCCGTGCTTCCTGCGGCGCTTCTAGTCTAGGCGCGAGGCGGCGAGCAAGCCCGGCTGCCGACTCGCCCGCGCTTTTATACAGTTCCCTCCCGCCTGCTCCGGACACGCCTCCTTCCCTTCCGGAGCCCCGGGTAGGCGAGAAGCTGGCAAAGGCGAGGAGGGAAGAATCGGGAGGACAGCCAGACGCTGTAAATGACCCAGAAGTTGGGGAGATTAAGCCAACCGCGTCCCCTCGCCTGGGGGCCCCGGACTTGCACCGGCTGGAGGCCGCGAAGGCGGGGATACAGAGGGCGAAGCTTGGCACCAAGCAGCTACTGCTCGAGACGAGTCCCAGCTCAGCCTCCCGGACCCGCCGGGGCTCACCTGGCACCCTCGGGGACAGAAGAAATACCTCTCGCGCAGGAGAGGGCTCGGAGCTCCCTCTTTATAAAGAGTCAATGAAGGAGAGGAGTCTGGGAGGTTCAGAGCAAAGAATTCACCCTGCCTGCCTTAAGGAAATAAAGTTTAATTGCGACCTGCAGTTAGGCTATTGTCCTATCCCCTTTATTTTTTTAAACAATTACTTTAGTGAATGAATATTTAATAATTTCAAAAATTGTTGACTCAATGTTAAGTATTGCAAGGTGAGACGCTTCTTTCAGAATGGTTTGTTACTGTGTCTTTAGAAATTAAGATTGAAAGAGAAGCGATAGATTATTAAACTGCAGGTCACCAACATAGCAAGGTTTTGAAAGTTGTACTTTTTTGAACGGAAAGATAATGCAACCACGATAACAATAGCTAATACTATTATGTGATTCACTTATTCATATACCGCGTGCCAGGCTAAGAACTACACATAGATTATCTCATTAAATTCTTTCATCAAATCTATTAATATAGATCTTATTATTTTATTCCCATTTTATGGACAATGAAATGCAAGCTTAGGTTAATTTTCCTGACCAACCATGTCTAGTAAATGGCAGAGCTGTAATTTAAATCTGGAGTCCCAGCTGTATAGTCTTTAAAAAAAAAATACTTTAAGCAAATATTTTATCGATTCTCCAAAATGTGTCTATTTTTGTTTGTATAACTGGAGAATATTGCAAAGCATTTCATTATTTTTTAAAAGAAAATATTAGCTGAACATTAACATCAGTAATCTTTAGAAGAAAGAATAATGTATGAGTTTAGGAATTAGTTATTTTGATAGTAGAGTACGATTCCAAATTTGCCTTAATTAATTCAGGTGTGTTTGTTAAAAATGAATATGCCAAACCTATAACCAGGGTGAGGCTTATCCATTTCACTCCAGATGTGCTGACCTCTGTGATTTCCCCAAATGTGGGAAATTCGACTGCATAATTTAGTGGAGGACTGCGTTCTCACTTTCTCATGTTAGAAAAAAATATGTATAGACAGCACATTAATCATGATTCCAAGTTGATAGTTGCTTAGAAAGATTTTTATACATCACATACTCTTACTCAGAATTAGTACAAATATGTCAAACATCAAATATCAAAATTAGCTGCTTAATTTGGATACTGGAGGCATAACAAATGATTGTTTTCTTTTCCTTTAAGGTTTATTTTTATTTTTTATTTTTTAGGCAGAGTCTTACTCTGTCTCCCAGGCTGGAGTGAAGTGGCGCAATCTCAGACCACTGCAACCTCTGCCTCCCGGGTTGCTGGGATTACAGGCATCTACCACCAGGCCCAGGTAATTTTTTGTATTTTTTTTAGTAGAGACAGGGTTTCACCATGTTGGCCAGGCTGGTCTTGAATTCCTGGCCTCAGGTGATCCGCCCACCTCGGTTCCCGAAGTATTGGGATTACAAGCGTGACCCACCATGCCTGACCTCTTTAAGGCTTTTTTGAAGTCAAGCATTTTATTTTTTTCTCCAGCTTTATTAAGTTGTATTTGACAATAATAGTACCTATTTACCATGTACAATATAGTATTCTGCTTATGTATACATTGTGAAGTTATTAAAACAGGCTAAATAACATATCCATCACCTCACATACATTTTTGGGAGATGAGAATTTTTAACATCTACTCTTTGCAGTTTTGAAGTTCCTCAGTATATTTGGGGAATTGATTCCTAGACCTTTCAGGTATACCAAAATCTGCATATATTCAAGTCTCACAGTCAAACCTGCACAACCTGCAGACACAGAAAATCAGCCCTACTTATACATGGATTTTACATCTCTAGCATACTGTATTTTCTATCTGAGTTTGAAAAAAAATTGCATATAAATAGACCCACACAGTTCAAACCTGTGTCGTTCAAGGGTCGACTATATACAGTACATTATTATTAACTGTAGTTATCATGCTATACAATAATCTCCAGAACTTGTTCATCCTAACTAAAACTTTGTACCCTTTTACCACCATTTTCCCCCCAATAAAAAATATTTAGTGTCAATTTAAACTCACTTTAATGTATAACACTAAGTAAATAACAAGCAATACTAAAGGAGGACAGATAGGACAAAAATAATCAAAATGGTATGAGAATTACTGAAACCTGGGAATCATAGATCTAACCGTATGGATGTTATGATAACAATAGGAAGAAATGGCCTAATTAGTTGGACCAGGTTTAAAGAAACCAGGCAGTGTTCCCAACAGAAATTCAGTTCAATTTCTTGTCATTCAACTCAAAAACACATGCTATATTCATCTCCAACAATACATTCTCACTCTCCTCTCGCTTTTCCTCCCTCCTTCCATTCTTTTCCCTGTCAGTTCTGTCTCCTCCTCCCACCTCCACCATTCCCTGGTTCTAGCTTCATTAATATTACTGACTTTCTCATCCATAACTATGCCTTTTATTTTGCTCATACTGCTGCATTGCAGCTTTGTTGTGTGACAATGTTACTTGAAATTAAATCAAGAGAATGCCAAAGCAGATATCCAAGGGATTAGAAAGAGCTAATATGCAAATAAAAGATTTTAGGTAGGTTTATGTGGAAGTCAGAAATGGGTCAGAATAACTGAGATCTCTCCTTAAAACTGGCTTTTGATAGGGGATGCAGACCAGCATTCAGTTGCTTGGCAGAAGAAAAATTGAACAAGAGGCAGGGCTATGTCCCAAGGGGACAGGAGGCATGGGGAATGTTTTCTTATGGAAATAGCAAGCTACTATTACACAGCTCAGGGAGTTCAACATTTAACACACTGGGTAGAAAATTATCCATAATTATCTAATTTTTACTTGCATACTTTCAATAATATTTGTCAGTCATGCTATTATTGATTAATTCAATTTTGAAAAGCTTTTTTCCTGAGCTTTATCATTTTTGGTGCTGGTAAGAGGCAGGTTTAATTTCAGCAAATAAGTCTTACAAATCTTGCTTTGTGCATGTGAAATATCTCTTGTTCATTCACTATTTTGTGGATATCTTCTTTTAGACACACATATTGTTTTCAATTTTTTTTAATTACTGTCACAAACTGAAACTTATTGTCTGACCAAGTCAGACCAGAGGCAGGCCATCTATATCTGTCTTTGACTGGAGGAGGGGGGAAAGGAGAAGAATGACTCTTTGATCATGAAACTTCCTCTACTGAAAGCTCTTTGGTGGCTTGCCATTGCTCTTGGAATAAAGAAGTTAGCACCTTAGTAAAGCCTTCAAGGCCTCCAGGATCTGGCCTCTCCCTTCCTCTTTAAGGTCAACTCATTATGCTCCCCTTTTTCCAGGGCCAAGGCCCTTCTGTCCTCATAAGCATTTGCAGATACCCTTCCTTCTGCGTCTCTTTGGACCACTTTGTTTCATCCTATCTTTGAGCCTAGTAAGTATGTACTCATCACTTAGATCTCAACTCAGTATTTCCTATATTTCCTTCCTCAAGGATTCTTTCCTGATCTCTTTGCTTGTCAGTTCTCCTCTTATTATAAAGTCAAGCATGAATTACCTATTATTTAAAAAATAACTTCAGTTTTATATTTGTTTGTTTGACTATTTGGTTAAAGTCACTATGAGTGTCCTTGCTCATTATTTTATTTTCAATATTTAGCACAGTGAAAAGAACAGAGTGAATCTTTTAAATATTAGTCAACTAGGTTGCTGTTGCCACATGTAAGCTAGAAATTGGTCTAAGCCCTTAGTTTATACTATGTCAATAACTTCTTATCACAATCATGTAAGGAAGGGAATTTTTATCTTTTCTACTTGATAAATAAGGAAAATGAGGATCAGTTAAGTACAGTGATTTGCTCAAGATCCTTCAATTGATAAGTGGGAAGACCATGATCTAACCCAGACATATGAACTGTGGTTAGGGTTTTTTTTTCTTAATTTGCTTAGCACACTTTCCTGTCACTCTTCTTCCATTCTTAGCACTCACTTTTACTTAGAGAATTCAGAGTATTCCATATCTTTCAGGAGAGACTATCATTCACATGGCTCTGTTTTCCCACCTCCTCCCTCCACTACAGGAGATAGGCGTAGTACCCTGATCTGGCTAGTCCTGATTGGTTGAAGAATGGGTACATCACATGAGGTGGGCCAATCAGAATCCACTGTGGGATTTTCTGCTAGAGCCAATGGGGAACACTATCTCTTCCCTTCTCTTTGGAGTTTCCAAACTACAAGAATGTAAAGTTCTCTTTGCCTATGTGAAGATGTATCATTTTGCCAGCCTTGAAATGATGAAATTCATAAGTTCACAGAGTATTCTTTGAATAATATAATTTTTCTAGTATTCAGAAAACAACAACAAGCTTATTTGTCTAGTTCAGGGTTTTTCTTGATTATGATATAAGGATTAGCAGTATTGTCAAGGATAGTGTATTTGTCCATTTGTGTTACTATAAAGGAATACCTAAGACTGGATATTTTTTAAAGAAGAGAGGTTTAATTGGTTCACAGTTCTACAGGATGTACAGGAAGCATGGTCTTGGCATTTCCTTCTGGTGAGGCCTCAGGAAGCTTACAATCCTGGAGGAAGGTAAAGAGGAAACAGCTGTGTCAGAAGGCAGGAGCTAGTGCAACAGAGTGAATGGGGGAGGAAGTCTCAGACTTTTAAACAACCAGATCTTTCACAAACTAACTGAGCAAGAACTCAGTCATTACCAAAGGCATGGTGCTAAACCATTCATAAAGGGTCCACTCCCATGATCCAATCACCTGCCATCAGGCCCCACCTCCAACAATGAGAAACATATTTCAACATGAGATTTGGAGGGAGATTATGAGAAACCATATCATTCTGCTTTTGGCCACCCAAATGCCATGTCCCTCTCTCATTTCAAAATGCAATCATGCTTTCACAATAGTACCCCTAAGTCTTAACTCATAAGTTCCAAATCCCATGTCCAAAGTCTCATCTGAAGATGAGTTCCTTCTACTTAATCAGCCTGTAAGATAAAAAATAAGTAATTTACTCCCAAGATACAATAATAGTACAGGCATTGGGCATATGTTCCCATTCCAACAGGGAGAAATTGGCCAAAAGAAAGGAGCTACAGTCCAATGCAAGTTTGAAACCCAGCAGGGCAGTAATTCTATCTGAAAGCTCCAAAATGATCTTCTTTGACTCCATGACCCACATCCAGGGAACACTGGTGCAAGATCTCCCAAGGTCTTGGGCAGTTCCGCCTCTGTAGCATTGTGGGTGCAAACCCTGTGGCATGCTCTCCTGGGTTGGAGTTGAGTGCCTGAGGCTTTTCAGGTTCAGGATGCAAGCTACTTGTAGATCTACCATTCTTGCATCTGGAAGATGGTGGCTCCTTTCCCACAGCTCCACTAGGCAATGACCTAGTGGGGAATCTGTTTAGGGTCTTGGATAATAATACATCTTGGAAACCCTACATTTTTTGCCTGTACTGCCCTACTAGAGGCTTCCTGTGAGGGCTCCACCCTTGTAGCAGGCTTCTGTCTGGGCACCCAGGCTTTCTTGAATGTTCTCTGAAATCTAGGAGGGAACTGCCAAGCCTCCTTCACTTTTGCATTCCATGCACCTGCAGGCTTAACACCACATGGAAGCGACCAAGGCTTACAGTGGCTTATGGTCTCAAAAGCAGTATCTGGGGCTCTTTGAGCGGAGTCCAGAGCCAGAGCAACCAGTATGTGGGGAGCAGTGACCTGCGGCTGCATAGGGTAGTGGGGCCCTTGGCTTGGCCTGAAAATTCACTTGTCCCTCCTAGGATTCTGGGCTTGTGATGGGAGGCACTGCTTCAGAGGCTTCTAAAATGCCTTTGAGGCCTTTTTCTCATTAACTTGGATATTAGCTCTTGGCTCCTTTTTAGTTATGCTAATCTCTCTAGCAAGTAGCCACTCCAAAGTCTGCTTGTATTGTCTCCTGAAAATGACTTTTCCTGTTCTATTGCATGGACAGGCTGCAAATTTTCCAAATTTTTTTTTTAGCTCTGCTTCCCTTTC